ATCTTCTCGTTTTTCTAACTATTCAACATTACTAATTGGATTATAAAACTGTATTTTTGTTCATTTCATTACTTCTTACCGCATAAAAAATTGTGCTGCTCAGAATCTTAATTTGGTTCCAAATGACACCGTACGAAGTGCCTCTGAAATCAGCAACTTTTTTTTTTATTTTTGGAACAAATTTAGGTAAAGGATATATGAGGATACTTGAAATGAAATATTCAAAACCTAGGTCGAGATTAAGAACAAAAAAAAATACGTGTTAGCTTCAAGATCTACGTACATCGATGAACAGAAAGCGTTGACAAATATCATATTAACATCCAATAAGAAAAGAGAAGTCTATGAAGATAAATCCGGAGGCCAAACCTATTACACAAATACAAAAGTACAAAATATAGAGATCTGTTGATATAGAGAGGTCATGAAACAATTATGTTTACATAACAAAGTCGCTAAAATGAAAATGCAAATAATTATAATAAATAGAGATTGTGTTTTATCAGAATTATAATAAATGGAGATTGTGTTTTCTAAGACTAGGCTTTATATTTACAGAAATTACATATAAACATAATTAATATAATATACTTACCCTTAAATTATAAAAAAAACTAATCACCCACGCACTGAGACTCCCACCTGTTCAAGAAACTGCTTAGATTAAAATATTCTTCGTCTTTCCTCTAACTACGTTTTCAATCGATTACTTAATTCGCATCTGCTTCACAAGAAGTCACGTGACGTGGTTTCACGTGACACACAAGTTTTGTGGACATGTCTAGACACATGCGAGTTTACTAAAAGATTGTATTTCTGATTTACATTTAATTCTCTCTCTTTAAATTAATTTATTTTTTATTAATTAAACTCACAAAACTCATTGTGAAAATAATATCGTTTAGTAATAATCACTTAATATTAATAAAAAGGTGCCCGGTGGAGTAGAGGTACAGGCTCTCGTCCACCAGTCTCAAGGTAGTAGTTTCGAATCCTACACCCTGCATTTCATCTGCCGACTATTTTTATTAAAATACAAATACTTTGGGTACCTAGGTCGACTCAGCCTTAAATGAGTACTTGGGATTCACAATCCTGAGGTAATAATAGGCGGTTGAAGCGTAGTGCTAGCCACATTACCTTCCTTGTATACCGAACGGCTCTAGCATGACAAGCTGTACCTTGCTACTCCCAAGGCGTTAAACGCTATATACGGGAGCTATTATTATTATTATTATTATTATTATGTTAATAAACTGTTTTGCAAAATTACATTTTTTGCGAAACTATGCAAAAATATCCTCGAGAATTTTTACAAATTTCTTATTAAAAATACTCTAATGTATCAATATTCAATATTTTTTTACCAAACCAAACTTGTGCAGTACGGTGGTAGGTTTTTTAAGGGGAGAGGGGATATTAATACTGTAGTAAGTACTGAGAGCTTTTCTTAATACTGTAAAATATATTCAAAAGGACGCTACGTGAAAGCAAGGAAAAAGGGAGTAAGTCAAAAAAAGTAAACTGGAGAAAAAGAAAGAAAAAACTTAAAATTTACGTCTCAATATTTTGTATATTAATTTGTCTTTGTCCTGGCATTTGAATAACTTTGCAAAATGTAAGCATTGAGGAATCTACTTAAAATATGACTATGATAGTAATCAAATAACGCCAGCCTTTGGGAAAAAAATGAGGATGGTTTTTTTTTGTTTCCCCATAAAACAGAACGTGGCGGTTGTAACGGTGGTATTTCGAAAGGGGGCGTAATATTTTATAGTTCCATGATGCGAGCGGAATGATAAATAAGACATTTTCCGCTTTTTAGTATTTTTTTACTGTTGAAATATACATAAAATTTTTCGACGGAAAAAAAGATTAAAGCATTAAATATTTACTTGTTGGTATTAAAATAACGCTGCTGCTTTTATTAGGCTCGTTTTTTATACAATATTTTATACATACCCGTGCCGCGTTATTTTATTTATTGCGTGATTAAGGCAACGGGTTGATTAAAAAGTAGCCGGAGCAATGGAAATTTGCAGATTACAATGCGGTAGTTATTAGAAAAACTAAATTTAATATAAAATTAAATTAATTCAAATGCTGATTTACAATGTTCACGCTATGGCATAATATGTTAAATAGTAGTTATTTCATTCGCCTATTTTTACATTAACGACTATTTCATAAATTATTACAATTTTATAACAGGAAATGACTAAATTTAGAAAAATAAGTATACCAATAATAAGATTTATTACCTTTTATTACCCATTACAAAACTTAAAGTTTATTACACCTATTGAGTAATAGTATATAATAATAGCTCCCGTATATAGCGTTTAATGCCTTGGGAGTAGCAAGGTACAGCTTGCTATACTAGAGCCGTTCGGTATACAAGGAAGGTAATGTGGCTAGCACTACGCTTCAACCGCCTATTATTACCTCAGGATTGTGAATCCCAAGTACTCATTTAAGGCTGCATACCTAGGTACCCAAACTATTTTTATTTTAATAAAAATAGTCGGCTGATGAAATGCCGGGTGTGGGAATCGAACCCACACCTTGAGATTGGTAGACGAGAGTCTGTACCTCTTCGCCACCGGGCACCGGTGAGTAATAGTATAAATCAAAAGAATAACTTCAAAATAGTCTGGTCACTGACTTGATTTTTGTTCACCAATAAGTCTTGTATGGTAGGTATCCTCAAAAAATCATTTAACATTAAATAAGTTTATAAAGAAAACTTCAAATAAATATTTATTATATTCGGTACATTCTATACCAAGATTAGATACGCATCAAATTTATTGATAGCAACTGATGTAGAATGTTTATGACGGGAATTAATCAGCGCGACCTTAGTGATATATTGTGTGTTCTCCTTTCTTGAGTTATAACGAGTGCCAGATTCTTGAATTCCGCCTTTAGTTGGTTTCCGCTTGGAAAGCAGAACTGTTCTGGTCCAGTTAGTGGAGTGTGCTACTTTTCTAGCTAGATTGCTTGCTTTTTCATTGTCTTCTCTCCCTTGTTGAGCGAGTACCAAGAGTAGGAGGACTTTATTTTCTTTACCTAACTTGTTCAGCTTCTCTAGGCATTCTTTGGCCAACTTTGAGTTGATGCGGTTACTGAGTTGGTCGCTTTTAGTGCTGCTTGACTATCGGATAAGATGGGTAATTCCTGTTTTCGATAGTTTCTATTTGAAATAAATTTCTGCTTGAAGGGTGCTGAGGTGCCCATTGGTGTGGAGTATTTAGTTTTTGGTCCAAATACTATTCCTGTCCCTGCTTTGGTTATGGAAGCATCAGTATACCACGATATAGTATGGTCTTTTACATGCTGAGCAAAGATTTCTCTCTTCAAATCCTTTTTATTGGTCAATAATACAGTGAGGTGTTTCTCAAAATTGTACATTCTTGATATGTCATTGACTGGGATCTGAAGGACTGGAATTTTACTTTTTAAAGGTGTTCCAAGCTCCTGACCTGAAAATTCTCCCAGTAGTGTTTCCGCCGATGACCATTTTAATCATTTATCTGTGTCTAGAATGACCTCCATTGCTGCTGTTGTGCATATTCTCATGGTACCTGTGATGCAGATGCATGCCAGTCTGTACTTTTAACAGGTTTTGTCTTGCTGTAAGTTGCTCTAGTTTTGTGTACCAAGCAACAGCTCCATAGGTAATCATGTATCTTACTATCATGGTATACATCCAGCGCAAAATATTAGAGGCGCAACTTTATCTATTTCCCACCAGTCTTCTGCATATCATGAGAGCCTTTGTGGCATTGCTGGTAATGTTTTTAATATGCCTGTACTAGAGAAGTTTACTATCGAGGGTTACTCCCATATATTTGACTTCCTCTGATGGCAATATTTCTTTTCAATCTAGATGGATTCTTTTCAAGTTTTCCAGGCTTTGCTTTCTGGTGAATGGCACTACCGCAGTCTTGAGTTGATGCTCAGTCAGTATGCATGTCAGTATATTTTGTATAATGGATGAAGCTACTTATTTTTGGGATAGAAGACGATCTGTTGCTGTACATTTATTAATAAAAAAAACAACAAAAATAACATACATAGGTCAATTGGAACATGTGAAATATTTAAAAATGAAAACAGCAAGAAGAATATTACAATTTAGTGCAATAAATCAATACCGAGAATTGTCTATAAAGGATTTAGACTCTCAACGGTTTTGAAATTTTTCCAACATTACCTGTTTTCAGTCAAAACATCCAACTTCGTACTGCAATTTAAAAAAAAATAAATTAAATTAAATTGTAAAAAGAATAAGTACCTAATAATGATTATGCACAATTTTTTCATACCTTTTCAGTTTCTTTCATCTTAACCAATGTTTATATTATTATAACCATCCTCCTCCTCCTCTTTACTATTACTCGATAAGAGTATGGTGGCATCATTATCGTATTTATTTTATCTCTCCATATTGTTCTCATGTGAGTTTTGCGCAGTAGTACTGGCCTCGTGCATACTTTTCCGTTCACTTTTCCCTTCACAATTAGTTTTTCTAGGCCATTGGTTTTCCTGGATATGTGGCCAAAGTATCTTAAAAATGATTGATTTATTGATATCGACACTTTAGATTCGATATTCAGTTGTTCGAGGATTGAAATGTCTGTACGGTGAGCTGTGTACGGTATTCGCAGCATCCGTCTACAACACCACATTTCAAAAGGATCGATTTTACGTCTCATTGCCAACTTCAATGTCCAGGTCTTTGAGGCATAAGTGGCAATGGGAAAAATTAGAGCTCTTAGTAGACTGAGTTTGTTTGTTGCTAATTGAAATGGTTGAATCTTTCCACATTTTATTGAGTTTGGTCATGGAATTACGTGCTATACAGAGTCTTCTCTTGATTTCTGCATCACGTCCTCCTTTGTTTGATATCAAGGAGCCGAGGAATATATATTGATCTATAACTTCGAAACCTGCTATTTCTGTTGTATTCGTTGTGATTCGATCGTGGGTTGAAGTTTCAAGTTCGTCGGCCCAATCTAAACAATCATCGAGCGGCGGAGCTACAGCGTCAGCCGCAGTAGATAGAAAGAGGGGTGCCGGTGCTAAAGCCAAGAAAGGCGCCACAAAGAAATCAGCAGCTACTGAAAAGAAGGCGCCGAAAAAAGCTGCCCGATCTCAAAAAGCTAAAAAAGCGGCAGCCGCTTCGTCGTATAAAAAAGTACCCGGAAAGAAAGCAGCCGAAAAGAAGAAAGCCGCCTCAGGCGGAGCAGCGGCGGCCGCCTCTGCAAAACCCAAATCTCCCTCTAAGGCGAAAAAATCCAACAAAGCTGGACCGACAAAAAACCTAAGCCCCCAAAACCGAAAACAGCAAAAACATCCACCGCAGCAGCTTCCGCCAGCTCCAAAGCCAAAAAAGCTGCCTCTCCCAAGAAGAAGAAGTCATTTTTGCGGCAGGTACGCACAATATATTTGCCATAGGGACAATGACAACATCAGATCTTATACCTAGACGACGTACGAGATAAAACAATAAAAATATATTTCTTAAATGAAATAATTTTCAAAAATCGGTTCAATTCAGAACCACAAATTTCTTGTTCTTGAAGTTTGATTCGATCGATTGTATCGTGGGTTTTCGATCGATAATCATTAATTTTGTCTTTCTTTTATTTAATTATACCAATATCTCTCCATATCTCTCGCTGACCACCTCTAATTTGTGCATAATGGATTTTAATTCATTAGCGGATGATGCGAGTATAAGTGTATCATCTGCGTATCTTAAATTCCTTATTTGTTTACCACCTATAGTGATACCACCGTTGTAGTCTTCCATAACTTCCCTCATTATAGATTCGCCACATCTATTGAAGAGTAAGGGAGATAAAATGCATCCCTGGCACACTTCTGCCTCAAAATCAAATGCATCTGAAATGGTGTTGTTTACTCTTACTTTTCCTCTGCTGTTCTCATACAGTTGAGGGATGTTTTCTAATACGATGTTTTCTAATACAGACCACAGTTTGCTCCACTTAATACAATCAAATGCTGTGCTGTAGTCCACAAAACACAGACGAGTCGGGATATTAAACTCATACGCTTTCTCGATAATTATTTATTTATTTATAACCATAATAATATAATTTTTTTTAGTTGTTTCTTGGGTGTTGTGGCTATGGTTAGATTAGGATAAGGTTAGATTAGGATAATCTAACCATAGCCACAACACCCAAGTAACAACTAAAAAAATATTATATAAGGCTAAAGAATAATCACTGTCCATAATAATATATTATTATTTATAACGATAATAAGACAGGAGATGACAAATTATAACAAAAAAACTCAAAAAGCTTAGCGAATATTCGCAAAAATTAAATAAGTGTCAATATTCTCGCCCCCAGATTTCAAATTATGCGAATTAGCAAAATATTAAAACAACTTTCTGTCAATTTTGCCGCCTCTGTATTTTTTTGAAATTGACCAACAACAACAATATTCGTAATTTGCGTGTATATGAACCTACCTTTACACTACCTAGTATATTAACGGCCTAAATTAACCTAGCGAAATTAAAACCGTAGGTGTACGATGCAACACCGGCGGCAATTTCGCGTTGAGCCGGTAACCTGTACGGCCGCAATAATACGCTGCTTCCAGATCTCGAGTTCAATTCAATGTGCTACTACTAAATCGCTAATTGAAAACGTATCGAGATTTCAAGCCTCGCTTCGTCGTTTACCTTTTACGATCGCACATACGTGCGTAAAACCTCGAACCCCGCCAAGACCAGTTTTTCTCTATACATATAAACGGTTCCGCGCATTAGAACACCTGCGCGATTCGACCGGAATTGCATCGCAAAAATCGGTCGTGGGAATTGGCGATACGAGGAAAATTACTAGTCGTAACCATATTAGAAGCGTAAACTTCCCCGTTTTACGAAGCTTTGTAGCATCGTATTACTAATTTAATGAATCTATGGAAAAAGACTGAGTGTTTTGTATAGAGTAAGCTGGGCGCAGCTAGGTTTTGAATTAGGATGGGGCAAAATTTTTCAAAAGTCAGTAGCAAAATCTGCTTTACCCCTACATCATAAATATATACTTACGTGAATGCAGAAACGCCATACAATTGGCATTAAAAACGATGTCTCCGACATCACGACATGCCATTTTCAAACCTTCTTTATTGCACTTATGAAACGTTCAATAGGTTTGTATTTTCTGTGGACCTTACTGTGCGCTTGCGCATTAAAAGTTGCATGTATTTCCAAAATAATCACAATTTTATACGGTTTAAAAAAGTACAAATTATACATTGTTATGGAAACCATTGTCATCATATTGTCACAATCTTGTCATAATCTTATTTCCACTGTGTAATAACGCTTGTTTTTTTGCATTTTTTATTTTAAAAACTGTATCAATTACTCTTTTATCGATCGCTTTTATACAGCCAAGGATGCAAGTGTGTTCAGTGAGAAGTTAATTTTAAGTTTGTGGAATTATATTTCTATATTTGTTTCGTTGGGCTTTTTAAATACTCGTAAAAATGACTAGAAATTGTTTGGTGTATGGAAGTTCTAATATAAAAGTCCCCGAATTATCTTTTCATAAGCAAGTAAAGTATTCGGTTGTTCTTTTATTTAAACTAAGCCACATGCATACTTTCTGGTTAGATTTCCTAAGAATTTTGATATTCGTACGGAGTGGCTAAATGTATTTTTTATATAATTTAATTCTTTTGACAGTAAACATTCAATTTATTGTTCAAATATAAGCATTTTACACATTATTTTTTTTTTATTAATGTCCAAATTTGGCGCGCGGACGATAGGTTCTCGACAAGGATAGATAGAGTAGAAGCACCGCGTGTGCAACAAAACAAGCATTTTACAAAATAAAATTAATATTGGCATTTGGCACGTGGACGATAGATCCTCGACAAGGATAGATAAGTATAGAAGCACCGCGTGATCAAAAAAGAACTAAAATAAATGTGAGTCGCTTATATGTTTGCGACAGTTTCCATAATGATTTACGTATCCACGTAAGTATAAAGGGTATATATGATCTAGGGCTTACCTTATACAAAGCCTTATACCATACGACCGAAAAAAAGCGACTGGAGAGTGACAGTCAATGATAATTTTGGCGAGGTTAAGCCCTAAACTTCATTACTTGGCCCGTACTATACTTTATTTTTTAATGGCTCTTACTGCTAGTTGGTCCTAAATGTTGCCTTTAAGGTTGTAATTTATTTTTATATTGAGTAAAAATGATTTTTAAATGGTGTAGATTAAAACAAGAGAGAAATATTTTTTTTGTGAATACATTTGTGTGTCTGAAAACTTCCTATTCTTTTTTAATTTTTCTACTGTACGAGTATGTCCCCGGATTGATTTTACATGAGGAAAGTCTTTTTATTATTGGCATTTTGAGAAAAATGCATTTTTCATAAAAAATGTTGCTTGTTTTAAAATGGTTAATCCCGTTTATACTTTTCCAATTGTCCATACCTTTTTAGAGGAAATTAACAAAAACATGAAAATACGTTAAACGAATTTTTATACAAAATTCTAAAATTCAAAAAAAATTGTAAATCTTAATAGTAACCATCTATCAATCGCAATTATTATTTTGATTAACGTCATACTTTTTGCTGTTGTTAAAATATCAGATTTTCTAATAACTATTATTACCCTTTACGTAGCATTGAATTAAATAAATTTTGTGCCCATTGCACAATAGACAATTATCAAAATCAATACCATTACACCCAAAAGCATAATATTTCGATACCTTCAACACCTCTTTCTGTAACCATGTTACTATGATTCATCTACTTTTAATGATTTAGGCAAGCCGTGCAAAATTTTTATACAGGGTCCGGCAATAGTGCGTCGGGCATCTGTAGCTCCTAGAATAAAAACTTGAGAATTTTGTTTAGGTGCAGACCTAAAATATGTACCAGGATGTATTTCATGAAAATATTTTAACTTCTATAGGGTGGCTCAAAAAAGTGTGAGTGGACCTGGTTGATTTTTTTTAAATTGAACACCCTGTATATTATTGCATTTTTGGCTTCCTTTCAGATCACTTTACATAACCCTAAGATATGAATAAATATATTTCGATAGTTTCAGAGATATTAATAAATAAATAAAAAATATATATTTTTCAGTCCTTTTTAAAAAAATTATTAAAAATACAAGAACTATTCTGAAATCAAAACTATGTTAGGTATTTACTTTAGATGGTCTATTCTTACTTTGCTATAAATATGGTAATCGTAAATCATACAGGATGTTCAATATTCTACGCCAAACTTTCGAAAATATAAAATAATTTTTCTTTGTTTTTTTAAATCGAACACCCTGTATATTATTTTTTTATTAGATGGAGAATTAAAAAATGAACATTTTTTGTATTTAAAGTATTTCAAAATTTTTAATACTTTTTCGGATACACGCAGTATTATTGCATATGGCGCTTTCAATGGTAAAATACGAGAGAAAAATCATTGGGTGGCTTTGATAAAAATTTACTGTGGAAAATGCGATATGAAATATAAAACCGCAAATATCTGCGAAACCGTTAAAAATTTTGAAATACTCTGAATACAAAAAATGTTCATTTTTTAATTCTCCGTCTACTGAAAGAATAATATACAGGGCGTTCCATTTAAAAAAAAACGAAGAAAAATTATTTTATATTTTAGAAAGTTTGGCGTAGAATTTTGAACATCCTGTATGATTTACGATTTTCATATTTATAGTAAAGTAAGTACAGACCATCAAGAGTAAATATCTAATACAGTTTTGATTTCAGGACAGTTCTTGTATTATTAATAATTTTTTTAAGAAAGGCTGAAAAATATACAATTTTTATTTATTTAGTAATATCTCTGAAATTATCGAAATATATTTATTCATATCTTAAGCTTATGTAAAGTGATCTCAAAAGAAGCCAAAAATGCAATAATATACAGGGTGTTCCATTTTAAAAAAATTATCCAGGTCCACTCACACTTTTTTGAGCCACCCTATAGAAGTTAAAATAATTTCCTGAAATACATCCTGGTACATACTTTAGGTCTGCACTTAAACAAAATTCTCAAGTTTTTTATTCTATGAGCTACAGATGCCCGACGCACTATTGCCGGACCCTGTATTTAGGGAGGCTTAATAAAATATCAATTTTGTTTTATTCTGTATTTATATTAAGTTAAAAAAAATATCGATATTTCATCTTCATCTGCAGCTGTATAATAAACCTATATAAATATAAGAAAATGTACCATTTTCTATAACCATTTTCTATAAGGTTAAGGTTATATCATCAAAATGAAATGCCAAGCGCATTTGCAAACTTGTTTCTGCTGTATTCAAAAGTGGTATAAATTTAATTTTTTCCTGCTTCTAAAACAAGGCCAAGACAGTTAATTTCAACCTTAATCTTTCAGTAGGAAGTGGACGATAGTAGCTGTTTTTTTCTACTCCTTATT